CCATGATGAGCCCTTCTCACTGATCGTAATTATGATCAATAAAAGGTATCTAATTATGTCTTTCACCAGGAGATATGCACCAGCGGTTACTAAACATCGAATTACTTATTAATTGATATGTTTTTGTAAGCAAGTAAATGTTTTATGTAAAATATTGCTAAAATGAATTGATGTATGCCGATATGCGCACACGTGTGTGTCATGTGTGATCAGATAATTCAAAGAAAAGAAGCAACAAAATACACATTTTACGTAGTTTCTTCTTGGTTTTAAATATCATTTTACATCAATGAAAAAAAAATCATAGAAATATATTTAAAAAAAATATATTCAGAGATCGATTTTCGGAGAATGAACATCGTTTTTTTTCCAGATTTTTTGGGTGCGCAAAATATTCGAGTAGAACCTTTTTTCCCGATTTTCAGCCTCAAAAAGTACCTGCGCAAATTACACAGGTGCGCAAATTACATGGGTTTTTACAGTAAATGTTAACAAATAAAAACGGCCTACTGCACTGTATTCTTTCATATTGTTGAGAAATTATAACAAATTCCTCAATATATATGCTTGACACCAATATCATGTCTTAAGTCTTCCCTGTGACGTTGTTTTGGCCAATATTCCATATAGTAATATACAAAAAATATGATATTGGTGTGTTCACAGCCAAACACGTTATAGTTATATGATAAAGTAAATAATATGTGGAATGAAATTATTCTTACATAAAAAAAGAACACTTTTTGCCGCATTTATTACTTACTACAATTGCTAAAAGGTTAAACCGACATTTCAATACTTTTTCACCCTGCAGGTATGATCGACTTGGTGACGAGCTCTCCTGTCATCAAAACATCACAGGGAAGCCGATTCATAGAAGTCGAGGATGGAATGGCGGACTGGCATGAAGGTGATGACCTGTTTCTCAGCCCTCTACCCCCTTCACCTCCCCCCACACCCTCACAGCCGGGGAAAAGGCCACCAAGCAAGCTCTCACAAGATCAGGCCCCCATATTGTCCAGTCCCTGTGGTAATACCGGGCCGCTGAAGGAGGAGCTCACTTCACCGAAAACCGATGATGTTGACCACAACAGCCAAAGTCGACAGAGAGGATTCGTAACGACAGGGCTGACATACTTACAGACAGTAAGTTTTATCACTGTAATCCCAAATTTTCTTCAAGCCAAATATTGATGGACACAAATTTTCAAATAGGACTAAGAAATGGTCAAAGTGTCTTTTATTAGTTCTTGAAGCTGGAGCAATATATCTGTATGCCCTGGAATGGAATGTAAAAAAATTCAAGATAAATAAGTTTTTTCATCTCAAATATCTACATGTCAGTAAAGACAGTTTCTATACCTACATGCATATAACCCTGACTTTACTGATACACTGTCTTATCTTGCCACTCCCTTTTTCTTGTACAAATAAATAAAAACCTGTCTGTTAAGACTATTAAACAGAGCTGTCAACACTCCCTCATTAGGAGCGAGGCTTCCTCATTTTGACCAAAATTTACCAATCTCACTCGAAACTCCCTCATTCAAGTCCAAACTCACACAAACTCAAAATCTACATTCTGTGGTCAAATGATCTCCTAGTTACTGCAGGGTGTGTGGAATGATTATAACAGGTGTGTCTGAATCAAATCTTTTTTTGGGGTTATTTTGATGCCTAAAAGGGAAAACTAAATTGAGCAAAGCAGTTTCATTCGCATTTCACACACTTTCTCCCTCATTGGAAATGTGGAATGACGGAGATCTCCCTCATTGGAGGTTTCAGAGGTTAACACCTATGATTAAATCATGTCAGTTTATCAGCATTTCGATGAAGTCAGGTGTCGTATAAGTAAGGTCTGACTGTACTGATTTAATATCTTCGACATGTTGATATTGTTTGACATGTTAACTGATGTTGTTTCGTTTCCCACAGAGAGAGATACAGAAGCTGGCACTACAGAATGATGACAAGTTCTACGCTAAGTTCAACCCCTCCATCACACATGTCATTGTCAAAACAGGTGAGTTATTTTGACATCAACAGCTGACATTGTACCTTCAAGGATACTGTGTATGAGTATGCTGGCATGAAGGGTTATCAAGGTTGCTCAAATGAATGACCTTAACTCAATTTCAAGATCAACACATGAAAAGTGAAAAAAATAGCATTTAAGCAAAATTAAATATGATGATCGATCATGAAATTAGGGTTTTCAACACTAGATTTTATCCCTCTGAAAGGAAGAGTCTAAAATTGTAAATATTGGTATTGATGAAATATTTTGATTAAGAAATCAAGATGAATGATACAAGCCCTCTGGGCCGCTTTTGTTGATATGTAATATTGTTTATATATCAGATAAAAATGGAACATGTGGTTCACTGTTAAAAGGTATATTGGCTAAATCTTCTTGTAGCTACAGGTTTGTTCTCTGTTACAGTGCCTCAAGGGGGAAGAGTCTGTGAAAGGACTCTGAAGTTCTTTCAGGGCATGGCTCATCAGTGTTGGGTGTTAGATTACCAGTGGATTGCTGACAGTAAGGGTGCTGGACATCTACTGCCCGAGGTAAACAATAACGATATATCTCTGACCGGCTCAAGTGAAAGTCAGAGAGGCACTACCTAATAGGAAAAATAGAGGTTGAAGTAAAGTTTTAAATTCTGCACACCAAGCAAGATTTGAAAGCAAGTTAATGCATAAATGTGTGGCCCTCTCTGGGGACAAGTGCAGATAAGTAACTATTTCACATTAATATCAGATCTGTGAAATATTGAAACAAAGTAAAGGAGAACATCAACAATTATGCATATTTTAGATAATTTATCAAATCTTTAAGAATTTCTTGTCACTTTTTGGAATTCAAAAAAATATTTATGTAAATTGATGAAAAAAATTGCATAAAATGTTTGTCTTCCTGCATTACCGTAAATTTTCGCGCATAGTGCACACTTTTTTAGGTAAATATGGTCATGTCAAAAAGGGGGTGCGCACTATATGCAGGAACAAGTCATTCTTGGGTTATCGTTCTCGAGTTTCAGGTCCGCCATATTGGATTACCTCCCTTCTAATAGTTTTGTTTGGAGTCGTCGGTCATATATGATAGATTGAAGATTAAAAAACAAAAAAGAATGAAATAAGTTTTGAATGTTTTAATGTGTTTGAGTTTCATTATTTACTTAACAGTAAATCATCACGCTTACACAATAACTTACAGTACATCATCACGCTCACACAATAACTTACAGTACATCATCACGCTCACACAATAACTTCGGTATATCATCACGCTCACACAATAACTTAAAGTACATCATCAAGCTCACACAATAAATTACAGTACATCATCATGCTCACACAATAACTTGCAGTACATCATCACGCTCACACAATAACTTACAGTACATCATCACGCTCACACAATAACTTACATAACAAATGTTGCAGCATAATCACACACACACGGCAAAGATACCGATTTGTTTTCTTATCAAATCTGACTCCAAAAACGTACCTGGGCACTATACCCGAGTGCACGCTATACCCACACATTTACGGTATATAAGATGTCCTTAATCTTGTGTTGTTTATTTTTAGGATAAGTACGAGATTGTTGGCGACACCATCACGGGGAATTGTCACTACGGCCCTCGTCAGTCGCGCCTCAGCAGTCAACCCCTCTTTGATGGGTTTCACTTCTTTTGTCTCGGAACAAGTGACAGCTTAACGACCGGTGAGTTAAATTCGGACTGCTTAACGAGTACAAATGATAGCTTAATGACCGGTGAGTTAAATTCGGACTGCTTAACGAGAACAAGTGGTAGCTTAAAGACCAGTGAGTTAAATTTGGACTGCTTAACAAGAACAAGTGGTAGCTTAACGACCGGTGAGTTAAATTCGGACTGCTTAACGAGAACAAGTGGTAGCTTAATGACCGGTGAGTTAAATTCAGACTGCTTAACGAGAACAAGTGGTAGCTTAACGACCGGTGAGTTAAATTTGGACTGCTTAATGAGAACAAGTGGTAGCTTAACGACCGGTGACTTAAATTCGGACTGCTTAACGAGAACAAGTGGTAAGGTACTGACTGCTGAGTCTTGTTTATAGGCCTACTTTGTACATGTGATGGGTAACAACTCGTTGGGGAGGAGCTGAGGTGGCCGAGTGGTTAAGGTGTCTGTCTGTCTACAATCACTAGCCCTCCACCACTGGGTTGTGGTGGCCGAATGGTTCAGGTGTCTGACTGTCTACAATCACTAGCCCTCCACCACTGGGTTATGGTGGCCGAGTGGTTAAGGTGTTTGACTGTCTACAATCACTAGCCCTCCACCACTGGGTTGTGGTGGCCAAGTGGTTAAGTTGTCTGACTGTCTACAATCACTAGCCCTCTACCACTGGGTCGTGGTGGCCGAGTGGTTAAGTTGTCTGACTGTCTACAATCACTAGCCCTCCACCACTGGGTTGTGGGTTCCAGGCCTACTTGGGGCCCTAGCCAGGTACTTGCAGTAAGTTGGTGGTTTTTCTCCAGTACTCCAGCTTTCCTTTGAACAACTTCTTCTGTATAATGAAGAGTACTAGTGTAATGATCTGTTACATGTTACAGCCAGGCCTATACAGGTGTAAGAGTCACAATAACAAGATTTACTTAGGTATAGCAAAATATTCGTAATTATACTCAATCTATTTGAATATATTTCACCTTGACCTAATTTGAAGATGAATAACAAGTGATACAGGGCCTTTTGGCCATTTGTTGTAAATTATTTCAGATTTTTTGTATTACTTGTTTCAGAAAATCTACAAGAATTGATTGAGAGGTGTGGGGGCACTGTAGTAGACCATCCGTCAGCGTTTCCTCCCGATACAAAGCTGAACTTAGCCATCACATGTATTGACCTCGAAGATGAAGATGATTTGCCATCACCAGAAGACACAAGATCGTTCAATAGTATGTACCATATACAGTAAAGTCTGTCATCCTAGCAGGAGGATATCGTAGGGTTAAAGGTTACATTGCCTAGCAGGAGGATATCGTAGGGTTAAAGGTTGCATTGCCTAGCAGGAGAATATTGTAGGGTTAAAGATTACATTGCCTAGCAGGAGGATATCGTAGGGTTAAAGGTTACATTGCTTAGCAGGAGGATATCGTAGGGTTAAAGGTCACATTGCCTAGCAGGAGGATATCGTAGGGTTAAAGGTTGCATTGTCTAGCAGGACACTCGCGCAATCAAAATGGTTTTGCTCAGCTGCGATAAATATCGGGCCGTATTTTCACTGCTAAATTACTTTTTGTTTCTGCACAACAACGTCATAGCAACCATCAATGAATTTACTATAAGTTTGGAAATTTTCTTTTTAATTTGTTCATTGAACTTGGTGAAAAAATCGCGAATTAGCCCTTCGTCAAATGTGGTGACAGTCGCAATTTTGGAGATACACAACTATTTCACCGATCGTTTGGTATATTTTCGTCAAACATGGTCGCTAAAATGTATCAAATGTGGTCTTTTAACATAATTTTTGGTGGTCGCTGGTCGCGTTAGACAGATGGTCGCTTAATACAGTTAAATTACATAGTAAAAACAGTTGCGAGGAATGAAAAGTGGTCGCATAAAACAGATGGTCGTTTAACACAGATGGTCGCTTAACACAGATGGTCGCTTAACACAGATGGTCGCTTGAGCAGATTCGACTGTATTGCCCTAAGGACTTGTGTTACCGTACTCCGATACCTCCTTTTCAGTAGTGGTTCATTCTAAGAAACCTGTAAACATATATATATACTATGACCAGTATTCAGAATGAGATCCATTAGTTTTGTATGAATAATAAATGCATCCGGGGAAGTATTAAAAATTAAAGAAACAGTCGTTTGAAAGTTCTATCGAAGATTTTTAATTTTGATCGATTTTGGGGCCGAAAAAGGTTAGGTCACTTGCCTGAATGGCAGGTGAGCTTATATGCCCAACTGGTGGCAAAGCAACTGGACCTCTAAGTATCCTGGTGGTGGGAGGTGGTAGATGAAATAATTGGTGTTGTATTTATAGATTTTCTGTTGAAATTGATGCAGCGTGTTATACAGAATATAACTATTCTCTACAGCACTAACCCTAGTAATAAGATGACAATAACTAGTTGGTGATAATGAGTACTTACAGTATACTTATGACTTGGTTCTTTCAGAGTTGCACAAGAGGTTTGGGTTGCTGACCGTGTCCAGAGAGTGGGTACTGGATAGCCTGACCGTCTACACAGTCCAGCCCCTCAAGGAGTATGTGTTAACAACTGTCAGACACATACAAATACCAGACCTGGTCTTAGGATCGAAGACATCTTGACCACTCTCCAGCTGAGAGGAATACCATGTTAGCAGCCTTTTTGGACAGTTTGACTACTCTCCAGCCGAGAGGAATCCATGTTAGCATTTATTTTGGACAGTTTGACCACTCTTCAGCCGAGAGGAATACCATGTTAACAGTTTTCTTGGACAGTTTGACCTCTCTCCAGCCAAGAGGAATCCATGTTAGCAGCCTTTTTGGACAGTTTGACCACTCTCAAGCCGAGAGGAATACCATGTTAGCACCAGTGTTGGATATCTTCAGCATCATCCTGCCCCCATACACTGTGTTTGTTAATTGTGAACATGATCACATCAAGCTTTGTCTGCTTACATGGTTTTATATGTATGCATCATAGATTATGGAGGTCAATATAGAAATGTGAAATAAAAGTATTATATATGTAATGGATACATAAATCATCTTAAAGGTCTTGAATGTGAATCAAGGTCATTAATTTTAACAAAATTGATAGCCCCCCATCCACACATGCAACTGGCCAAATATTATGACCCTAGGTTCTTGGTGTTCAGAAGTTTAAAAAAATAATGTAATGATGATAAGGAAAGATAGTTATTTCCCCCTACCTTTGACGTTCCCCTACCTATGACGGTTCTATGACGGTTTCCCCTACCTTTGACGGTTCTATGACGGTTTCCCCTACCTTTGACGGTTTCCCCTACCTTTGATGGTTCTATGACGGTTTCCCCTACCTTTGACGGTTCTATGACGGTTCTATGACGGTTTCCCCTACCTTTGACAGGAATGAACCAGTATGATGTTTATACAGTATCTTGTAGAATATGATTATGTTACAGATTTATCTTGATTTATAGATATATTAAACACCCAGGTGGCTGTTTCAATACCTAGTTCTGTACATGACATACATATACAGATGTTATATATTTAGTCCCTGTGTCAGTCTAACTTGTATTGATATCATTTACTGTAAATGTACTTAATTTAACGTACTCAAATTTTAGTGCATTATCAGATTTTGATAGAATAATGCATTTATGAATCGGCACCACCCAAAATATATGCAATAGAGAATAATATAAGAGCTGTAATTTGTTCATTCATTATTTAGCGCAATATTTAAAATGCAATAACCACTCAAATCACACTACCGCTAAAATATGTACATTTACAGTATCTCATTTTTCTTCAGGTTTTTTCATGGTTTCATGATTTCAAACAATGTGATGAATAAAGTGTGAAAGGTTCCCATGGTTCGGACGTCAACATCCCAGAATTTGACAATATTGTATCCTACTTATATGGTCATGTACTTGTCTTTGTAATACTTGTATATACACATGTAATCATCCTGGAAGTCGTGTATCGATATTTGATGTAATGGTTGCACTTGTTTATGGCCCGAGTTAAATGTATTCATTTGTACAAGAAACAAGAGAAATCTGCGTCACGAGATATATACACGTTTGGGGTTGCTTTTATTCTCCAACAACCGCTACAGGTTTCCTCACTCCTGACTCACTGGATAAACCTTCTAGGAGTTTGTAAACATTTTTTTGTTTCCCATCCTGGGCGTGATTTCATTGGTCAATAATCTCAAAGCTCCTATGATGTCGGGTAAGGATACTTTGCTACGTCATAGTGACCTCATAGTTCATGGCAATAGTTTCCTAATTATAAACAGGAACAATGCATTACACAGAGAAACATGTTGTTCTCTAGACATAATCTCTGAATGTTGTGAGAGAAAAAGTTCCCCAAACTCAGGATGGTTGAGTATCATGTTTATGTAACTCTCGTTTGTTAGTTTTCAAATTGCAAAAGACACTCGGTAAACCTTATGTCTTTATACAATTTGAAAATGAACTAACTGAAGTTAGATAAACATGATAACCAACCACCACTCGTTAGGGAACCTTTATTTACATACTGGTACTTGCTATTGATCTTCATTATCCCCTCACAACGAAAGTTTGAGGGGATATAGGATTTGGCTCGTACGTACATACGTTACACTCTTTGTCATCGCTCTAGCAACTTCATTCCTAAACATAATTTCATGAAACTTCATACAAGTGTGAAGTATGACAAGTTTGTATTTCAGGTTTCTACATTGAAGGTCAAGGTCACTGTTACTATTATTAGAAAAACTTTGTCATAGCTCTAAAGCCTTCATTTCCTCTTACATACAGCTGCATGTCGAAATGTGTGAATGCGAGGGGATTTGTATCACTTGTGATGCCTTGTCTCCTTTAGACAGTCGCTGTGATTAGAGAATACCAGAGTGTATAAATGTAAACCTATAAATCCACAGTCTGAGAACTGCAATAGTTTGTGGTATCATAAAGAAGGCTGCAGATTCCATTATGCATGTTTTGTATTGATTTCATTGATTGAAAAAGTATTTATGTTTAGTTACCAAAGATTATTTCTGTCTTGGAAGGCCATATTTTAACCAATTACGAGTCAAACAAAAGATAGATGTCTTAGTTTCAGTTTCTTGTTTTTATACTTGTTTTAATTGATTGCAATGGCTAATTGAACTTCATAATTAAAAGTTAAAATTTCAGACCAAATTCAATTGTTAACAATGTATTATATTGAGTTGGTAATAGATATTATTTTTGTTAATATGATGAATATTGTATCTATTAAACTGAATATTCATCAAATTATAATTAACAATAAAAAAGAAGGTGCTAATTGGAAGTTAACTACAGTTAACTAATTAGCCTCAGGAACACATGAATATGCGAAGGGCCTCCTATTCATAAGTGTCCATTAACCGACCAGCACACTGCTATTAGACGGCGAAGCCTGTTTTTTGTTTTAAGTGAAGTTTTATTTAGTATTCCAAATGTTGAGTTTTCTGTACGTATTGGTATGCTGTGGTTTTATATATACAACACTCCAACCATTGAGTTTACAGCACAAATTGGTACGCTGTAATTTTCATAAAAGTGGAGTGTATTACATTCAATGAAATCTACAACAGTTTTGGCTGAAGATGTAACATATGTCCCCACCAATTCGGAAATAGGACATATGTTAGACAGATTATATTTCAGATAAGGCATGGTGTAATTTTAACATACACATAGTGCTTGTGTTTTTCATTTAAGAAGATGTGTTTGAAATTAACCTAAACTTATCTTGAAAATGTGTTTTATATATATATATGTGAATATATGTAATGAAATTACAATTAAAATACCAGTAAATCTAATCCTGTTTTCGTTTTGTATACAGAGTTAAAAATGTCCCTTTGTTTATTTTTAATACCGAAGTTTGTCCGGATCACAAGTTCCATGCTATTACATCTACATAAAATATTGTATGCCGATACCCATTACATATTATATCCGTTCGAACATGGTTTTCGCAAATCGCGATCATGCGCAACCCAACTTCTTGAATTTGTGGATGACATCTCAAAGACTTTCGATGAGGGACGCCAAACAGATATCCTCATAATGGACTTTGCTAAGCTAAAGGCTTTCGACAAGGTCAGTCATTCTCTCCTAAACCATAAACTAAAACATTATGGTATATGTGGAAATGTTGCAAACTAGATCGAGAGTTTCCTGACCGGTAGAACTCAGACAGTAGTAGTTGAAGGGGAGAAGTCTGATTTTGTCGATGTCCATTCCGGGGTACCCCAGGGGTCAGTTTTGGGACCCAGTTTATTTCTTTACTTTATAAACGATATCCCTGTGGGTCTAAATGCTACAATCCGTTTATTTGCAGACGACACTTGCATATCTAGTTATCAAGTCAAACAGTGATGCTACAACACTTCAAAAAGATCTTGACAAACTAGCGCTCTGGGAAAATACATGGAAAATGATCTTCCACCCAAACAAATGCAATGTGTTGTCAGTGACTAAAAACAAAACTCCAATAGTCCATAATTATACTTTACATGGACTGGAACATCTTAGTCAGGCCAAGTATCTGGGTGTAACACTATCATCTGACCTTAAATGGGATTCACATATAAATACTATCTGCCCAAAAGCAAATTCTACGCTAGGCTTTTTAAGACGAAATCTTAAAATTGGCTCAACATCAGCCAAAGTACAGGCATACAAATCATTAGTTCGACTATCACTTGAGTATGCCTGTACAGTATGGGACCCTCACACCCAAACAAATATTGACAAGTTGGAAATGGTCCAGCGAAGGGCAGCGCGCTATGTGCTCAATAATCACAGGTACAACCATCGTACCTCCAGTGTGTCAGAAATGTTGGACCACCTTAAGCTGCGCCCTCTAGCAGATAGACGTAGAGATGCTCGTCTGACCATGCTTCATAACATTGTAAACCAGAAAGTCGCTATCGTAAAATCAGATAGATTAATCCCTACAGTTAGAAAATCCAGAACAAATCACCCATCTGTGCATTATTGATCGTAGATACAGTTATAATTATTTGACTTTATCCACATAATTTTATTAACCAGATTGTAATCAGATGTGTGATAATTCCTATTGTTATATACATGTAAATGTGTCTATAGTACCACAGCTGCCGAATCTTAACCAAAAATTGTTAAGACAATTTAACATGTACCAGAATAAATTAAAAGTTCAATGGTTTAGAAATTACACACCTTAATCTTGAAGTGACCTTTCTATTCTTCCAAATTTGCATATTGGCTAGTAAGGGGAGACATACGTTTTTGTTCACAAAAACAAATTTCTAGTTAGTCTTACATTTCGTAATGGAAATTCAGAGAAAAAAGGTGACCACACATTCAAATATTGTGACTATTTATTCAGATTCCTTCCTTTGTACAGTAAAACCTCCATATAATGCCCCTCTTTTCATTTGCCACCTCTTTTATCGCCAACATATTATAATGCCCCTTTTTTCTTGTTTTCTTCAGGATTCCTTTACACATTTCCCTCAATTTATCACCAAACCCCTACATAATGCCAAAGTTTCTCCGGACAAATGGTGGCAGTATAACAAGGTTTTACTGTATATTTGTGTATACATATGAAAAATAAAACACCACTATAATTCGCTAGCGCTTTCTTCCATCTTGGTGCTCTTCAGAACAATAATAATTATCATTAGCTTAGCCATCCAGAAGATGTAAATTAAATAAAGTAAACTGTTACGTAGTCTGTATAAGAATACTCCAGCATCCGTCTCTGGTTACACCAAGTACATAACTACCACAGGACTGTGGATCACAGTGTCTAAAGCCTTCTTCAATACTCCAGGAGTTAGCCTCACTTTCACTCTCTGCACCCCTGAAATATGCTGTAGCAAAATTGAAGGCTCAGTGTCCCTAGCTATTTGATTGGTTTGGTTAAAAAAAAAATCTTGACCAATCGCTATATAGAGCTGATACCAGCTGTCTTTTGAAGATTACAGATGAGCGACACCCAACTTCAGAGCTAGTAAATTTTACAGTTAGGCGACTGCGAGGTTCTTCTGGTGTACATCAAAGGACCTATCTTGTCTTCTTGTCTCATCCACAAGTTGGTACACACCGAGCCTGTGATTTTGCTATGACATGTTTCAGGACTGGAAAGAGTGAAAGTGAGCGTAACTCCTGGAGTATTGAGGCTGGTGGTTTACCAGTAGATATACGGACGTTATAGGTAAATATTGCACACAACTGACTCGGTGACACATTGTGTTCTACACTCTCTGTTTTGGTTTTGTTTGTTTCTTCTTCTTCTTTCCCTTGTTGTTTTTGGGAGGGATCCATGCCGTATAGTCTGAAAGAGAAATCTTGAAGTATAATATTACTTTCTGAAATAGCACATTTTAAAACACACAAAAGAACAACAGAGCTAAATATTTTCCACTCAAAATACACTCAAATTGAACATGGAATTCACATCATAGTGATGCTGGATGGCATTGTGCTCTTGCAATTGTGTGATCTTGAGGATGATCATTGGGCAAAAATGCCAACTTAAGTATAAATACACTTGGAGCCTTATCCCTCATGGACAGTTTGATGTATTCATGAAGCCGTTTTCATGCTCAAGCATGGATTTTGTGCTCAAGCCTATTTTCTTTTTCTGTTTATAAATGAATAAAAAATCTTATTTTGTCAATGATTCAGTGAACATTTGAAAAGACTTGGAGCCGAATACTGTTTCCATTGTTTCCATTTGACAAAATGATCATTTGGCATGATTTAAGCGAGTAACAAGAGTACTGGTTTGAGCACAGAATCCATGCTTGAGCATATGAACAGTTTCATGAATACGGGCCCTGGTCTAGATCACTACTGTTGTTGATAAAAGTAGTAAGATATTCACTCTGACCATAAAAAGACCCAAAACTATGTTTTATATTTCTGTATGGACCTTGACAGACTGGTATTTTTACCTGCAGGTTCAAATGTGGCAGGTACTCTTCCTTTGGTCATGTGACTTGGCAGAATGACGGACGGGTCTATAGGTAGCCAGGGTACGCTGCTGTTGGGCGTATTTGTTGTCATAAACCCAAAGTGTTGAAAATGGAGGTCATAAGATCCTCTATTAACAAAAAAGGTATATTATGAAGACAACATTTAATAGTGGGGGAGATGTTTGCTACACTAAAACACTAAAACAAAGGTCCAACGCCTTGAATCACTCACCTGTTAATTTTTGGAAATCAAGGAGAAGACTGACCATTAATTTTAACAGTAATCCTTATGTAATGTAACAATTGCGTCAAAATTCCAGTCATAACATTCCTAGCTGATATCAATTTAATTAGGAACTATTCGACACCGACTATATCATACAATGGTACAGTCATGTTAGTTCACCGAGATCATTTTATCATGTCAGTACTTTTTCTATAACATACCGTTTTTTCATGTCCGTACATTTTTTGATGTTACAGTTTCTGTCTCCTGCTCCATGGTGGAGTAGGTACTGGCCAGGGGGCTGTCTGAAATTCAAATTTTCTTATGATTATTTGTCACATAAATAATAATGAAAATTTGAGGTTCTTATATAGCGCTTTATCACAACCTAGTTCGTAGGTCTTCTCCAAGCGGTTCATGAATTATTATCCGTGGTTATAGGGCCTTTTACAACCAGCCAACATCTTTCTCAACTCCCTGAGGAGCATACAGTCGGTGCTGTCATTTCGGCGCTCAGAGATAGTATTCAACAATTCTAGCACTGCCCAACCACATACTCATTTACAGCTGAGTAGACTGGAACAAGCGGAGTAAAGTATCTTGCTCAAAGATAAAACTCAGTGCCGTGACTCGAACCCGCAACCCTTCGGTCACGAGCCTGGCGTCCTACCTCTCGACTACTGTGCCTCCTAAATGATGGATGAGACTTGCTTATTTTACTACAAGAGGCCCACAGGGCCTGTATTGCTCACCTGGATATTTAAGCAGTCAAAGCAAAATATTAAATAAATATAATACTGTAGTACAAATATTTCCAAATATTGGCTCTCTATGTTTCTCAGTAATACCTTTACCTTATTGGGTCTCACTCTCCTGTCCCGATTGGGATGGAGGCATGGTTTCTACAACACTGAATCATGTTGGGCCAAGGATACTCTATATCAAATCAGATTAAGATAAAGCAATAGAATAATGTAGGTAAAGGTTATTTCCATTCGTAAACTTTGTTGGGTTCCATCTAAGGAAGCTACTTGTTAAATATCACGACTCCATGCCTTTCACTTTATTCAGAAGAAGTCATTTGAAGTGTTTGACATATTTGACCCCTGTGACCTTGAAAGTAGGTTTATGTCATTTTCATTCGCAAACATTGTCGAGCTCAATCCCAATAAGCAATCAGTCAAATAATATGATTCTATGCATTTCGAATATCAGAAGATGTCATTTGATAAGTTTGACATATTTGACCCCTGTGACCTTGATAGTGGGTCTAGGTCATTTTCGTTCTCATACTTTGTTGGGCTTTTTACCAACGAAGCTACCAGCCACATATTAGGATTCTATACGTTTCAGTTCTTCAGAAGTCATTTTAAGTATTTGACACTTTTGACCGCTGTGACTTTGATAGTGGGTCAAGGTCATTTTCGTTCTCAAACATTGTTAGGCTCTAACCAACAAAGCTATCACCCAAATATCATACTCTAGGCCTTGCCATTCTTCAGAAGAAGTTGTTCAAAGGAAAAATTGACAGACAACGGACGGACGGACGGATGACAGACGCCCGGCCATGGCATAAGCTCACTAGCCCTTTGGGCAGGTGCGCAAACAAACCATGTATCCAATTTCCATAGTTTTGAATACTGGTAAAACATGTTTTTAATATCACAATATCTAGGGAAACAAGCAAATTTGTGGAATTCATATCCCCCGCTTACAGGACATATTGTAGGTAAACATTATTGAGGTTAGGTTTAAACATGTGAGTATCGTGATGTTGGGATATAATATATACCGGTAGCTTGAAACTCGAAGAAAAAACAAGAGGCCCATGGGCCTTAACGGTCACCTGATATATTTAAACAAAGAGTTGATTTTTTTTTTAACATGAACAGAAATATTATTCAAAGTGTCAAAAAACAACAAGAGGCCCAAGAGGGCCTGTATCGCTCACCTGAATATTTAAGCAGTCATAGCAAAATATTCTCATTAAATATTATATTGCACTAAAAATATATCCCTCGCAAACTTTGTTGGCTCCATCTGTTGAAACTACCAGCAAAATATTATTATAAGATTCTATGCTTTTTGATTCTTCTTCAGAAGTTGCTTGACATATTTTTTCCTGTGACCTTGTAAGTAGGTCAATGTCATTTTCCTTCTCAAATTGGTTAGTTCTATTCCAAAAAGCTACCAGCCAAATCTTAAGAATCCATTTCTTTTAGTTCTTAAGAACAAATACTTTAAAATGTTGTTGACCTCTGTGACCTTGAAAGTAAGTTGAGGTCATTTTCATTCGCAAACTTTTTTTGGTTCTTTCCCAGGAAATAACCAGCCAAATATTAAGGTTCTATACCTTCCAGTTCTTCAGAAGAAGTCATTTGAAGTTTTTGACATATTTTACCCCTGTGACCTTGAAAGAACGTCAAGGTCATTTTCATTCTCAAACTTTGCCAGGCTCTATCTCAGAAAACAATTAGCCAATTATGAAGATTTTATACCGTTTAGTTCATCAGAAGAAGTCGCTTAAAGAGTTTGACATATTTGACTGCTGTGACCTAGAAAGAAAGTCAAGGTCATTTTCATTCTCAAACTTTGTTGGGCTCCATACCAGGAAGCCACGAGCCAAATATAAAGATTCTATACCTTTCAGTTCTTCAGAAGAAGTCGTTTGAAGGGTTTGACATATTTGACCCCTGTGACCCTGAAAGTAGGTCAAGGTCATTTCCATTCTCAAACTTTTTCGGGCTCTATCCCAGGAAGTCACAAGCCATATAAAAAGATTCCATACCTTTCAGTTCTTCAGAAGAGGTCGTTTGAAGTGTTTGACACAAACTTTGTTGGGCTCCATCCAAGGAAGTCACCAGCCAAATAGGAAGATTCTGTACCTTTTAGTTCTTCAGAAGAAGTCGTTTTTAGCGTTTGACATATTTGACCGCTGTGACCTTGAAAGAAAGTCAAGGTCATTTTCGTTCTCAAACTTTGTTAGGCTCCATACCAGGAAGCCACCAGCCAAATATGAAGATTTTATACCTTTCAGTTCTTCAGAAGAAGTCGTTTGAAGTGTTTAACACATTTGACCCCTGTGACCTTCAAAGAAGGTCAAAGTCATTCCCGTTCTCAAACTTTGTTGGGCTCCTGCCAACAAAGCTTTCAGCCAAACATCATGACTCTAAGCCTGTCCGTTCTTCAGAAGAAGTTGTTTAAAGGAAATGTTGACGGACGAGGACGGATGACGGACGGCGCACCATGACATAAGCTCACTTGCCCTTCGGGCTGATAATGCTAACCCAAATTGAATTACTTCCAATGGCAATTAAACAAATGTTGGTCCAAAATGTGATTTCCCTATATAAACTATAGTAAAGTTTACCCCCTCCCCAGGGGTAAACGTGAGACCCCAGGGTCATGAAATTCACAGTTTTGGTAAAGCACCTTAAGACCCATCCATCTATGAAGAGTGTTTGATTTTACCATATCTGGGTCTTGAGAAGAAGAATTTTGAAATTTCAGTCAATTCAACCCTTTTTGGCCCCACCTATCAGCCCCTGGGGGTCAGTCAGGGCTGATATGTGCATACTATCAAACTGCTACCTAATACTGATAATGATATCCTGAATTGAATTACTTCCGATGGAAATTAAACAAATGTTGGTCCAAAATGTCATTTCCCTATATAAACTATTGTAAAGTTTACCCCCTCCTCAGGGGGAAACACGAGACCCCAGGGACAAGAAATTCTACCATATCTGGATCTTGAGAAGACAGGTGTGTCTTATTACCCAATACACAGGTATATCTACCTACAATACAGGTATGTCTTATTAAACAATACACTGGTATGTCTTATTGCCCAATACACAGGTATATCTACCTACAATACAAGTATGTCTTATTACCCAATACACAGGTACATCTACCTACAGTACAGGTATGACTTATTACCAAAAACACAGGTATATCTACATACAGTACAGGTTTGTTTTATTACCCAATACACAGGGATATCTACCTACAGTACAGGTATGACTTATTACCCAAAGCACAGGTATATCTACATACAGTACAGGTTTGTTTTATTACCCAATACACAGGGATATCTACCTACAGTACAGGTATGACTTGTCATCCAATACACAGGTATATCTACACCCAAATTGAATTACTTCCAATGGCAATTAAACAAATGTTGGTCCAAAATGTCATTTCCCTATATTAACTATTGTAAAGTTTACCCCCTCCTCAGGGGGAAACACGAGACCCTAGGGACAAGAAATTCTACCATATCTGGATCTTGAGAAGACAGGTGTGGCTTATTACCCAATACACAGGTATATCTACCCATAGTACACAGGTATATCTACCTACAGTACAGGAATGTCTTATTCCCCAATACACAGGTATATCTACCTACAATACAAGTATGTCTTATTACCCAATACACAGGTATAACTACCTACAGTACAGGTATGTCTTATTACCCAATACACAGGTATATCTACCTACAGTACAGGTATGTCTTGAAACCCAAAACAAAGGTATAGCTACTCATAGTGCAGGTATGTCTTATTGCCCAATACAGAAATATATCTACCTACATTTCAGGTATGTCTTATTACCCAATACACAGGTATATCTACCTACAGTACAGGTATGACTTATTACCCAAAACACAGGTATATCTACATACAGTACAGGTATGTCTTGAAACCCAAAACACAGGTATATCTACTCATAGTGCAGGTATGTCTTATTGCCCAATACACAGGTATATCTACATACAGTACAGGTAAGTCTTGTCACCCAATACACAGGTATATCTACCTACAGTACAGGTATGACTTGTCACCCAATGAACAGGTATATCTACCTACAGTACAGGTATGTCTACCTACAGTACAGGTATGACTTATTACCCAATACACAGGTATATTTACCTACAGTACAGGTATGACTTGTCACCCAATGAACAGGTTCATCTACCTACAGTACAGGTATGTCTACCTACAGTACAGGTATGTCTTGTCACCCAAAACACAGGTATATCTACCTACATTTCAGGTATGACTTGTCACCCAATGAACAGGTATATCTACCTACAGTACAGGAATGTCTACCTACAGTACAGGTATGACTTATTTCCCAATACACAGGTATATCTACCTACAGTACAGGTATGACTTATTACCCAATACACAGGTATATCTACCTACAGTACAGGTATGTCTTATTGCCCAAAACACTGGTATATCTACCTACAGTACAAGTATGTCTTATTGCCCAAAACACAGGTATATCTACATACAGT